TAAATTTTACCATGTTAAACCTATCAATTATATGTTCAATATACTTGTTTTAACTCAACCATTGTTTTTTTTTCTCCAACTATCCAAATATAATGTAAAATAAATTCTAATGAACATACATCTCTAATATATTCTAAAACTCATTCAATTCTTCGTCTTCAATGCAGATTTTATTTGATTATTGCATATGAAAAATTGCCAAAGTGAAAATTTCTGGCACATAGAGTATTAATATAATGATTCTTTTGATCTTATTTTTCACCTTTCATATATACATATGGATCATACGCACTTTCTAAAGATTTTTGGACTTTCATGAACTCATCACGCCTTGCATTCCAATACATATGAATTTGCTTTTACCCGTAAGGAGATTTCAGCATTTTACAAACCAAAATTTATTTGAATTTTCCTATCAAACCCAATTAATGGTTCCATGCAAATACTCTACCTTCAAATATCTAATGAACTTGCTGCAATATTAAGTCTGATTATTCATAACTAGATTAAATATTGCAATAAGAATATTTTGCTACGAAATAACTAAAGTATATTTTGCTACAGGTGTAGAAACTTTGTTGTGATACATGTTATTTTTCTTATATCAATATTTCTAAATATCAAGCTCATTTGTAGAAAAATTTTATTCATATGCTGGATTAAATTTATCCTTATTTAGCCACTTGTTATCAAACAAGAGTTGATTTTTTGAAGGTTTCATTACCATTTATTTCTATTTATTGATTAGAAATTGCATCTGATGTTGCATAAGAATATCTTACTCAAGGTTATAAGTAAACATATTAGTTTATTTTATTGAAAGAAGATTTTTCTTTTTCCAAAATCAACGCTTTGTCATCATTACTTTCAACCTCAATATCATGATTGTCCATACATTCAATGTATGGATATTATACTTGTATGTATATGTATGGAACTTGTTGCATAAAATATACACTAATCTCACCTTGTGACAAAATTTAGTTTCATTTTACATTAATCTCGACTAAGTTTGATCAAATCTCATGAAAATTTTATTGTTTGATATTAAATTAAAACTTAAAACTTAAAACTTTCTAATGTAGCAAATAGTGTAGAATTGACTTCTTTCAAGAATTCATAAATCATCAACCTTTTTTATAAAATGCAGATGACACACTACTAGCATCATAATTAGTTGTCAAGTAGATCATCATCATCAAATTCTTCATGTCACATTAGCTAAATTACTCAACAACTGTGATCTTAACATGGCAATCTTCTTTTAAAGCCGCGGCTTTTGCCACATTTTCAATACCTTTCTGTCTTGTTGTTTAAGGTTCATTCCTAGATTTTTGGGTCTTTACAACCTCAACGTTGACTTTATTACTCATACCACAATATGTATCTCTTGCATTGAAGTACATCATATCAAGAAGTAATACAAGGCGACAGTGATATCATACTCTGCAACTTTCATGCCAAGTACAAAAGAGAATCATGAACCCGAACAGCTGGACAGTGGAAATGTCCATTTCAGTGAAGTCAGATTGAAAGATAAGATAAAAAGAATTCACTAGACCACATGGTTAATATAAAATACATGGATTCAGAAATAAGGAAAAATTTAAGACAAAACTTCTGCACTACTTATTTAACGACAACCACGGGGATATCATCATCACGCATGAATCGGAAAGAGGAAGCGGTTAACGAGATCCGTCTCTGAGTCGTTCCCATTTCGTGACTGTGATCTATTCTTCGACTTCAGGTCTCCTGCCACCGACATTTCAGATGCTAGTTCTAGGCATGGACATCATTCGGGCTCATCTGAGCATCAACGTTCTTTTCAAGCTCATAGACTTCTGCTTCGTCCTCGAGGTAAAAAATTTAATACAAGATTTTTAGTCACATCACGACATATATCGTGGTGTGCTTCCCAACTGATGGACTCCACCAATGCAGCAACATCAAGAAAGATTCCGAACTTTTCAAAACTCTCCTCGCTAATTAGAACCAGGCAGCCAATGATGAGCACTTATAAGAGTTATTTTTCACATTTACAATAATCGATCAATGGTGCAAAATCAGCACCCCTTGCAATGTACTCGATACATCGTTATTGCCTTATTTCCCCGATATTCTCCATCTCTTGTTACTCATGTAATACATCCATTGTAGTCAACTTCAGAAAATAAGATATCAATGAAACTGTTGTAAATGCTTCCTGCTATCTCCACTCGCGCTCTTTCTCAATATGTTGTCCAAACTACATGCTATAATGCCTTACGAATATTGATAAGTCACTTACAGACTGCCCATCTATATATTCCCTATATAGGAGCAGCCGATACTAAGTCTGCAGTGCCTGATAGCTGCATCGATGGCTCCTCTTTTATTAAGAGCTTCACACAAGAATTCTTGACCGCACTATGTCAGAAAATTTCGGCCATAGTCCTAACAGTCGCTTCCTGTTTGGTCGCATCAGTATGTGGTTGTCCTAGGAGCTAATCCAGCACAATCGTAGGTCTGTGATGAACATACCCGAATGAGCATTGAGAGTTGAATGACACCATACACCTTTTTGACGTCTTCTGGCATTGCCAATCTCGGAAGAAAAGAAGCTCAGTGTTTAATTTTTGTATGAATGTGCTAGAATGGGGAAGCTCGCTGGAAATTATAATTGGACCGGGACTGTGATACTGGACCCTTGCAATTCAACCGTTGAAAATGAAGTAATTATCAGTGATTGTGGTGAGTGGTGATCAGGATGAGCCCTCATTAGTACCTCAATCTAATAAGCAGCTTGAACCCTTCATTGTACATCATCAGTAACTCTAGGCATAGCAGATTAAGTATTTAGACTACTCTGAATTCTGAGAGGTACGTTGAATACTCCCTTCGTATTATGCAGTAATACCAGACATACAAATTGAGGAATCTTAACCGTTTTGAGTTCTGACGCTTTTGAGAACGACAACGGCAATGTAACAAAAGTCGAACTAGCCAGTAGGGAAGCTGTTGCCAGCATGCAGATCAGCAGAATATGAGTCCCGATCATCTAGCCAAAGAAGCTGCTGTACATACTCCATCTGTGCTTAGTATGCCCATGGACTAGACAGTAGCATCTTACTTAGTTGTTCACCTTCACCTCTACTACTAATCCAGAGTATCTTCTACAGTAAATTCCAGGTGGAATAAAAGATTGGGACAGAGTATAAGATAATGACAACTTCTTCAATAGAGCTCCAACGTGCAGTGGAATCTTAGCAAATAGCAGTAAAACAAAATCGGGGCGAAGGGATAGAGAAGGCCTTGCATCACAGTGTGTCATTTTTGTTTGAGCCACATGCCTTGGCTGAAAACATAGGGACTTCCATGCCAGTATTGGTTCTATAAAGATAAACATCCCTAGCATGAGAACAATCCAGCACTCGTACCTTCAACAATCTTGCAAATTTAATCAAATGAACATGGTCTGACTCAAATGTTATCTACAATACGTTTAGAGCAATCTTACCTTGTATTCTTGAGTGTTTACGATGTGAGATAAAAATCATAATACAATCTAGGCGGTGGGAGTGGAAAGAGAAACATGAAAACTAGTTTGACATGCAGTGAGTCTTCCTTCACCCATTGGATGATTAAGCTTCTCTTCTTCTATTAGAAGATATTTGATTGCTCATAATAGGTTCAAGAAACATTTCTTTTGAAGTCTAGTTTAGAGAGCCTAAACTTTATTTATGTCATTTTTACTTGTTATTGCTTTCTTTAGAACTTTTAGTTCAAGGATATGTTGTATATATCTCCTTGAACTATATGCATTTCATCAATAGTTGGTTACAAAATCCATTGGAAACTAAATTATACCTGGTGGTAGATTTTTTGAACATACCTTGATTTACAGTTTTCGTTTCTTACGCTTACATACAAAGCTCTAAAACTTCATGTGGAGTCCAAAAAAAGGAAAAGGTTTATAGTCCTCAAAAGAAAAGCATTTTTATGTTATAACATTATCATGTTCCTATACTATTTGATTTTTTTCCACGTTTTAGGTAGACACTAAGAAGTTGATGATCATGATTTCAAAATAACTACAAATCCTGTGAACATACAAATTCTACCTTGGAAAGTTTCGTGTCTCAAAGAGCACTTGTTTTAGTACAGGTTTGAAAATTGAGGAGCAGTCATATAATTGATTTCAGAGTTCCAGAGTTGTAATGTTAAGAAATAATATTCATAACATGAGAGTGATTGTGATTACAATGGAGAACCACAAAGACTTAGTCCTGTTGGAGAAAAAAGTGCACTTCTTAATAACTTCTTTAGTGTTCAGCTTAATAATCTGGCATCCCAGTTTCTTTGACAATTTTGGCTGTATTCATAGGTCTATCTGGATAAAATCATCGTGGAAACTGGGAATGCAAGCATAAAGATTTGGCTCATTCTTTATATACAAGGAATCTGGAAGCATGTGTGCAACTTTAGTCTCTAAGAACGATAAATGAACCAAAATAAAAAAAATCTCAAATTTCTCTTTCGGAAAGTATCCTACTAAGAACGATATGTTAATGAAAAAACAGGAAACCTGATCTTAAAAAGATCTAACTCATTGGATTCAGATTTCTTAGAGGTCAAACTATTATCAATTTTCTGAGTTGAGGAGATAAGCAGTACGCGGAGGCAAATCCTGTTGGCGACCTCATCGATTACCGTGAGATCTTTTCACAGCAATGGTCATAGAGCACTTGTTCGAACTCAAACCAAGGATTTTTTCGACTATTTGGTTATAATGACATTTATGTTTAAAGGGTCCCTCAGTCCAACAAATCACTACGAACGGTAGGTGGGATTTTGAAATTTGTGATGCTTTTGGAAGGCATCCATATTGGAGGTAAACTACATCGTTTACAATCTTACCTGGTCATTGACTCCTTCACAAATATCTGCTCTCGAAGTTTATTGATATCAGACTATTAGACAAGTACATTCTACTCAGAAAGAGAAATGTCCCAGAGGCCATCTTCCAGTCAAATCCTGTGCTCTTCCAGTCTTCTTCCTTCAGCCATGATCTTGACATGTCATTGATGCTCTGAAGTAGTTAGTAGATATACTGTACAGAAGTGTTTTCGTAGAAATGACAAGTAGATTGCGCAGAGCTTTTGTCGTCCATAAGAGCTCTAGCTCTTGCATCACCAAGCAAACAGTAAGAATATTTGACTTGACTGGGCTCAAGCAAGTTTGCAAGGTAAGAAGAGTCATGGTGCTACAGTAACTGATCGTTTTCTTTATTACAGGTTCTGTTAGACTGAGTGGACGAGTTGTGCACGGACATTCACAGAATCTTGATTGGCTTAGGAGAAGAGAAAATAGATCATAAAACGTACGAGACTCTTAGATGCTTAACTGCTAAAAGGACACAACCGTGTCGGTGGTGGATACGCGAAGGGATTCCTCGGTGGTTTCTACCGTTACAGTTACAGATGGAAACAACTTCTATGAATCTTGTGCTCGACGTGATGACTGAAGCACTGTCGAATCTCTAATCAGCAGGCTACATTGGTCCCTTGGCAGAACTTTAATTTTCAGTCTCCCTCAGCTCTGGATAGGATGAATCGGGACAGTGAGCTTGTTCGTAGAAGTCGTCCAGGTAGTCTCCATACACCATATTTGGGTAGACAGGCGACTCGTTCTCGTCTACGAGAACCGGAGCTGGACCTATGGTGGTATTCCTTGATGGAGCAATGAAAAATGCAGTAGATGTCCTCGGTGAATGATTGTTGTTCACCACTCGATGCAGGCAGCTTTTGTACTTGGCGTTGCTGAGAATCTTGCAACAATGTCAGAAGAACAGAAAGTTCGCACGTTTCAAAACGAGAGTCCTGACACCACGTCACTCCAGAACAAAACTCAACAGAATTGATTCACTATACGGAGGCTCTTGCAGTCAGAAGTAAACTGCTTCTACCATTTTAAAACCAACGAGTTCAACTTGGATTGGCATGTCAGAACAAGGAAATCTGAGAGCTGCCCACGGACTTATTATGTGCCGTCAGTACCTGAACTTGATCTCCGATATTGACGACGAAGGAGTTCTCCATGGGCCTAACGTTGAACCAGCGATTTCCTTTCTGTACCTGCAGTCCTCCCACATCATCCTGAAGAATGATTGTAAGCATGTTGGGATCTGAATGTGTACGATGGCCCATTGTAAGACTTGGATCCAAGCTCGGAGGAGCATGGTTTACCGTTATCGAAGACTTAGCTTCTCCACAAGCCTCGATTAGGAAGTCTTCGTTCAGACCAAGTGAAAGACTGATTATGCTCAAGATGTTCACGGAGAGTCTCTGAAGATGATTCTCATGTTCTTCCAACAGTGATCTGCAAAATTGCAGAAGTAAAGAAACATATTTGACATGGTATTAACATATATGCAGGTAGTGACTACATGGAACTTCCCCATCTGTGACTACTGGTCGTCATTGTTGTTAGATATCCGGGCCTATATTATATTCATACTTTCCACTTTTATCTCCAGCAACGAGGAAGAGAATGGACGAAAATGGAATGTTGAAGCACTGAGGCATCTTGAGATCAGAATGGCACTCCATAATTCAACAATTAGTCCGAGCGGGACCAGACAACTTCAAAGTCTAAATTAAGTGCAACTGAAGTGAGCAACTCCCCAGTATGCTTCCACAGTGCTCTGAAGAGGTGCGGAGGTTCTTATTTTCCGAGAACCAAGGAAGATTGTCACATAGCTCAGAGGAGCAAAAGGATTACGAGCTGCAGTCATCTGAATTGGACAGGACAAGCTTTCATCGAAGGTGGTTCGCAACACTGGCTGTTCCAAGTTCGAGAGGCTTACCAAGTGTATATCGTCTCTTACAAGTCACACATACGTATGGGCGTGAACACCCAACCGCTACGCTGAATGTTCTGCTAACAGATGCCACATGCCAACGCGCGGTGAACGGTTCGAAAAAAAGTATCATGAACGAGTACAAGTTTCAAGTACATATGACCGTCAACTCGATGCTTTTTTTCCTGTTTCATAATCTGGGACGTTACCCAACGGTGGGTGTCAAAACTAAGTTCCATGGTCGTGTTCAAGAGAAGCACACCGAAGTATCTGTCAGCAGCGGATCCAGCAGGGAGTCCGACATGTCTGATAAGAAAAAATAGTTAAAAAGAATTGGTCTCGCTGAGCAAGAGAAAGAGGAGATCTTGGGGCAAACCTGAAACCCACTGGCTTTGAAGGCCAGTAGTCCTTGTCTGATTCGGAAATTGGAGCAAAATGAATTCTGAGCACTTCTCTCCAGTCTCTATTCCCTCCTCCTCCAAAGTGCACCGGTCCAGCATTCCCAGCTGGCGTGTTGATTTTGAGCTTCTCCTGGTGTGGCAGAGAGAAAAACTCTCGCGTACATCTCTGCATGTCCTGGAGATGCGATACGGGAACTCCATGATTGATGAGGTAGAAAAATCCCCATTCTGTGCAGGCTCGAGCAACAGCAGTCAGTAAGTCCTCGGACATAGGAGCCTGAAGATTTATGCAAGGAATCTGTTCCAAGTCCTCGTCTGCTTCTACGATTCTTCGCTCGCTGACTGGCTTCACGTAGTACTCTGGAACTTCATGCGTATTCAACCTCATCATAAGCTCTGTGACCCCGTGTTTTCGATGAAATCTCCTCATTTCAGCATGTGTATTGCCTGGAAGCTCCATCGTGGCTCAGCAAGATCCCAGTACACAGACCATACAAGCTGTGCACGATGCGACTCTCGGGTTCGCTATGGGCTTTATTAATAGATGACTCGATATGCCTTCTAACTCTCACTCTTACTGAATCTGATCGTTTTCGATCCGCTCACACTTTGAGCATGGTACCAGATAATCTGACTCTACAAAAAAAATATGATATTAAAGCATGCAAGGATGGTGTTGTTTAATAAAGTTATAAATGAATGATAACCCACTTAAATCGTATGAAGTACGAGTAAAACCGAAATCACACCAGGAAATGTAACATCAACGATATGATATGCCGATTGCGAGAAGCTTGCAATTGTATCCGAGGAGGATGAAGTCAAACTCGATCGTGGTGCCTCGGTCACCGTCTGGGATGGCTGTGGAACACACTCTCAAGCATTGGTATACAGCAGTCGTCGTGTCGCGCTCTCTAGCGTTTTCGCTTGTATTCCACTCCTTTCTTGTGAGAATGATCGAGAGACTTCGCGCTCCTTTGCTGTTCGGAGACATTTAAAGGCTGTATGCTCGTTGCCGATTAGAGAGAGATGTACAGGGTAAGATGAACGCTCCGGTACGCTTAAACTAACGCATGGGTACATCAACCACAGCTCAGCAGCTCGCAACTGACATATGACCATGATCTATGACACAATGTTGTGAACTCCTGCAACGAATGTGCCGTCTGAAATATGCTTCAGTCAGAATGACGTAACGGTAAGGAGACTCGCTCTGAGTCAGCTGCTCGTCTTCAAATTTCCGCAGAAGATCTGGAACCGTCAAGGCTCCTAATTTAAGGCCTGTATATGTACACATCATACAGATAATCTAGAAGGCTATACTTTTCTGTACATAAGACTGCCCGAATATTCAATGCTCTTCACCTGAGATGGTTTCCGACGCTCTACAGCAGCAATAGCAGAAGAAACGAACCTTCGCAGAAATCGAGAAATTTAGAAGTGGTGTTATTCTTCTCTGCAAAGAATCAGAGGATGTGAGTCCGCCCGGGCTAATAATTGTGGATGAAGTATACCTAGCAGAAGATTTCGTCATGTTATGATCTTCAGCCTCTCGCTACAATCACTCAGAAGATTGAATCCTCTCAAACACAACCTCCAACAAGAGCAATAATAGCATGCGCTGTAATATGCCTTCAGTTCAATATGTGGAGATTCTTTGTACTGAAATTTCACAAGGCGCAGGCTTATCTTTTTCCAGCTTTCTTGTTGTCAGATCGTGGAGTATCTTGATGCTGCTTATTAATAATCACGTGAATAGTGTTTGCTTTTAGAGAAAGAGAGAACAGAAACCGTGGAGAATTAAGCCATGTCTGGCATGATATCGAGGGTGATGTAATCTGTATACGAACTCAACCCAAGGTACTCAAGACCAGTCTGGCATTGGTTCATATGTACATGATGCCGTATTCTGCAACATAACACCACAATACTCATACCTTAACTTAAGAATCAGCGTACTATTATCGTATATAGAGATTAGACTACAATCACGTGCAACAGCTCCAATCCGAACAGGAAAGTCCATCAACTCTGGAGCTGCTGCTGTCTAATATTCTAAAGCACTTCTGGATAGGTTATTACACAAGAAACAGCTAAGCAGATGATACACAGAGTACTAGTAGACAAAGACGAGTATAAATCCCTCGTGAGAAGTTTATTCATTCTTTGCCTGATTGGTTTCTTTTACAGACGAAATCTGCTTATTTGGTGTCATTTTAGGCAGGGCGGACCGTCGTATTCTTGACGCATATTTGCCAACCATAATTATTTACATCAGCATGAGCAATGAAAAAAACTGAATCTTTGCACATGATCGTTAAACTTTGTGTAATAGCTGCAAATCAGTCCCCATATACTCCACTGAAAGACGGTTGACTCGTGTGAGAATATATTTTTTTTAAGCAACTGGAAGTGGAAATGCTTATGCTTGAAGATGCAAGCAGAATCACGTTTGTCCACATAAAGAGATTTTTGAAAATAATATCTCTTAACACTGGCGATGGAAAGTGCAGGACTTGCTTTTGGTTGTTGGATGGCAGGAACAAATCGAAATTCACCAAGTACAGTACGTGCACATTTCTCGGAAATTCAATTCAACTGATGTTGGAGAGATAAGTAGAAGCACGTGCAAAGAGAATCTCTGAGATGTGTAAATGTGGGGAAGCTTCAAGAGAAGTCGTGAATCCTACCCTTATAACACAAGCATTAGTAAGGACGATTTTGTTCGTCCTTACACCACGAGGATATCTCCTTTACAGTTAGGGCCAGTCTACAATCATTGTACACAGAATCTTTGTCATTTACAAAGAGCAGAGATAAAGCTTGGATGAAGCATCTGGCATCACATAGAAATGATGACGTACATTTTGCATGCTCAGACTCACTAGGATCGTATTGACAACCGAAGATGATTTATGCCAGGTATTATCGTATTACATGTAAACTCGAGCCCTGCAATGCAAAGCTAGGACGTACAAAATCAACCTTGTAGGGCAAAACCCTGGGTGCACGAGAATGTATTGCGCTATTTACCTATAGGTGGTTTTATTTGGCTCAATTTTTTTTGTCTATTTTATATCCCTTTTTTTCGTAAAGCCGTCTCTTGTTATAAACTAGAAGAGACAAACAAACTTCAGCAACTCCTGGATAATTGTCTGATAATGTCATATTTTTTTAATTATTTTTCGCTTATAATAAGAGTCCCGATGATGAGAATACCCACTTGGATGAAACCTACGGGGAAAGAGCATGTCGCAAATGGTTATTCGGAGTAAAAGGAACCAAGTAATATGGCAAAACGGATGGGATGATTTATATGGGGCTAGTAGTCTGAGCATCATGGCATGTGCATCACCTTCATGAGAAGACGGTAATTCCGCATAGAATAAAACTAAATGAATCAACATGCGATGACCATGTTCTGCCCAATGTGACATGCCACAATGAAGTCTGTCATTGGTTTGGACCAACGACAGACTGAAAATGCAAGGATGGAAAGGAGACAGGAGAGTGGAAGCCTACTGCACCCATCGATGCCCAGAGACTCTTTGTTCGATATGGTCCTAGAAGAAGTCTGCTGTAAAATGTCATAAACGTGGATATGAAGTACTTCTCATATTTTAAGCTCGGGTGACAGGAAGTTTGTATTTTTGTGGGGAAAAACAGAGATCCAAGTGAGTAAGAAGTGAACTCTAATGAAATTCATGCAAGGTGTACGGAGGATGTTTGATAATCAGCCTTTGGCCATGTCCTCAACTTCGATCAGTCTCTATCGGAGTTTTTGAACTTCGTTTGAGTCAAGAGCCGACCTGAAGACAACGTTCATACATTTTGAAAAGAGAGAGAGAGAGAGAGAGAGGGAGAGACTCCGTCGTGCTTTGTTTGACGTTGGCGTAGTTTGAACCTTTCTTGTTCTCTACCATATGCCCTTGTTTTAAACTGACCGGCTATGGCGTTGTCTACAAGCAATTGTAGTCAACGTCAACGGGCCTTATATTACAACATCTTACATCTGAAAGACCGTAAGTTATCAGTCAAAACAGGGGACTTTGCATGTTTTGCAGCGCTAAGCTCATCATCATTCACCAGTTCTCAAGAGTTCTTGTATCTTACCAATGGTGTCCAAAGATATTACAAGCTAAAATACGAATGCATGGGATTTCAGCCACAAAACAAGACATAGAAAGAAGAAGTGATCACCGAATGAGAGAGATTACAAGCATGAAGATACGATCTTCCTGTGGACAAGAAGGAAGAGACAAGCAGGGCATTGCGTGTTGGTTTCGTCTACGACTCTTTACAATCATCATAGAGAACATCTTTCTTATGCTATGGAGATCGAGGACCACCACTCCCCATTGACTAGTTGTTGAGTGGATTCAAATGCAATATGAGCAAATTATTCTAGGAAATTAACGGAAATCAGAAACTCTCTTTAAGCTTCACTTTAATGTGGAAATAAATCACAGACGTATAAATTTTGATTTTTAGACACCCTCTTCCTCCTCATAGCTAGCTTAAAAAGGATTTGAACAGTGTAATCTGAAACACGTGGCGCTGTTCCACTCTTCATTGTTGGAAGAATATGAGTGACTAGCTAATGCCAATCATTATAAAGAAACTAATGAACATGGACTTGATATTCCTTACTGTTCCTATTTTTCCCACTGCTGTCTCCCTATAAATACAAAAAAATGGAAGCTTAAGAGCAATCTTAAGAATTTAGTCTGTTACTTAGTCTGTATCTAGTTGTTCTTCGCTTTCCCCTTTAAACGATATGTAATGAATTGTATTCATAAAAGTGATCATTATCTGAATGGAAAGATCTATTTCCGCGAGAAAATTTTGGCAATCTTGAAGAAGAGTATATCTTCTGTGACTGATACACTCAAAGTGTATCAGTCACAGAAGTTTTATAAGGAAACAGGAAAAAATATTTGACTATTTGACTTTTTCGGAAAACTCAGTTGGATTCTAGTCAGTTGGTTAGAATTTTCACTCAAGCCAAAATAACTTACATCTCAAAATTAAATACTGCTAGAACTGATGTCACTTACGGTGCTTACGTCCATATGTGGAGCATGGTGGAGGGATGAGAATGCAAATGAAATCCGATTTGCCTTTGTAGGTCGGTTAGTGCATACTCTGCCCCTCATTTGTGCTGGTGGTGGCAAGTAATACTTATAATTTTCTTTGTCGCTGATATGGAACCACTTTTTTAAAAGTATCGAACTTTGATCAAGCGTCCACGGAGGATTATAAGGAATGTACTGTCTCCAGGTGGACCATAGCAAACTACAACCACAATGGCAGCCCATAGACAACATCGAGTCTGGATCTTAGGCAGATTCTCATAACATATGAAACAACAAAGGGAAGTTGTAGTGGCATACGAGGTGTTTCTTTATTTCAGTTATTTTTGGTTATTACACATCTTGCATTATGGACAGCAATATGTTGTTTTAAGAAAATGCGTTTTCTTACATTTCTCTTAAGCTGTTCGTGTCTTTTGATTGATCATTGAGTTGATTTGGTGATTTCCAGACTGCATCCAGATAATCTAATCTATACTACGAGCATCAAGCTATATGAAGATAAAGAGTTTGTTCGAGATGAATTTATTGTAGTTTTTATGTTATTCTTGTTATGTTTTGTTAATTATTTTCTCTTGATTGTGTGATACGTTGTGGGATGAAGGATTGATAAGTTGTGCTTTCAGGTGTGTGTTGAGATGTCGCTCCTGTTTTCACAAGCTTGTTTGCATCTTGATTTACGTTCAAATGGGCTATGATCTTATAGAAATGGACCGCGCAAGTTTGGAGTTGGGTGAGTGATTTGTGTATTGTGATGAGTAACTCTGCTTCCTCATAGGCATGTATATTGGATGGGTTTATCGATTGTTTTTTAATTAGTGAGTCTAAATTTGGAGAGGTTTATGGGCTATAGGGTCTCTTTGTGGTTAATCGTGTATTTTAGCTCTTAATTTGGCAAAAACATGGACAAATAGATAAAAAGGGATGGAAAAACCCCATCGACCCTCGCAACAAACGAAACGGCAGACCCAGGGCTATGTTCTTCGCATATGGCATGTAGTTCCTCATTGAGAAACGAGGGGCTCTCTAAGCATTAAAACCTCTACATCAGTCACAAACTTAACCATTATTGATGTTAAGCGAAAGAGAGCTAAATCACATCGAATAGAGATATCAACATTGCAGCTTTCAATTTGTTCAAATAACACAAATAAAGACAAAACGCACCCCCATAAGATAATTGTGTTTGAATTAGTTACTATGATACAGTGAAGTAAAATGAAATGAAATGAAATTCTCTATCAGGCACAAAAGAGTTTTTTTTAATTATTAAATTTTGAATAAAAAATTCCAAAGTAGAAATTTTTCCTAGTTTGCAAATCTTTAAAGACATGACATAATAAAACTACTTGACATCAATTATATTTTGTAGAATTATAATAAACATGTATTCCCATAGATAAAAGTTGAATCTTATTTTTAATACAAATTTATTTTTGAACCATAAAGAAAATATAATAGACATATTAACTCTCTGAGGAAATCTTGTATCTCACTTAATTTGCAGATCAATCCAGAGAATTGTGTATGAGATTTCCGACTATGTCGTTCACTGAAATGTTATTTTTTTCACAGGTATTTTGATGCTGCATCGGGGTTAATGCTTAATTGATCTTCTTGAAATTCTTGTACTAGAATTGAATCGAGGTAAATTCAATTGAAACTCATTTGTTGGTTAGAATCTAAAATGAATTTATTTTATAGTTTATAAGGATTTTCACTAAGTAACAGGGTTAATGTAAATATAATATATACATCCAAACATAGTTTATATATATATGAACATGATGCACACATTAAAAATTAATATTTTCTTATATATAAGAAAATATTCGTATGGTATGAACATGATGCATTGTCGCAACGTCTAGTCACTTCTCACCAGTTGGACTGTGGTGAGATGGTCGTGTTTCAGTCACTTGTCAATACAGAGTCACAGGACGTGGTAAGAAAAGAACCATGTGCTGCACAATCACACAACAACCATGTAATAATTCAAACTTCAACCCAGTGTAAAAATTTCAAATGTTGCAACGGTACCCGCCCCTTTTGCTGAACCCGTTGACGCTCGTCTCGCCGTGTGACATATCCGCTCACTTCTACCTCAAATTTCTCGACGCCAACTTGTTCGATTCAAGAGGAGTCTCTGAACTAAATCAAATAATCCTGTCCCGTCAGCTCGAACGTATTGGTAAGTCACATTCCCGTTGCAGTCTCTGAGACAATTGCCTGGAGCAAGTGAAGGTTTGGGAGTTTTACACGGATTTGGGGCGTATCCGTGTCCTGGTCTTCGATCGATTGTCGTCGAGGTGGTACTTATCAGTTATGAATCTGTACGGGCTTTTGGGAGGAATTGGAAAGTTCCATCACTCACAATTCTTATTATGTGTTGAAACCTGGTCTGTCATTTTTTTCCAGGTCGCTGGACTGGAACGTTGGTGGTTGCAGTTGAGTCTGCCTGTTCTGGATCTTCACAATGGGAACAGCACAGTTAACTCGTGATGTCATCACTCTCAAGGGGTCTGCTGCAATAGTTAGTGAATTTTTCTGTAAGTGTTCACGGTCTATGCTGCAATCGCCCTCGGTCGTGTGTTGCCTGCTCCCTAAGCGCAATTTTGTCATTCTTTAGATTTTCGAGAGTCGTGTAGTAGACGTAGCTTCAGCCTGTCATTGGAACATGTGACTCTTCTGCAATGTGCAATTTGGTGTCGGATTCACAAGACTCTGAAACTTCTTAAAGACATTGCACTTAATTGGAATCTAGGAATCTGCGAATGCTTGCCTCTGGATGAGTGCTTCTCATATCAGTAATTTTGTTTCGAACTTTGTTTGACATTCCTGCCTGCTGTTTCTTTGCCTATGAAGTATTTATTGTCTTCTAGAAGTTGCTCCAAGAACTCGTGTGAAGTCTTAACTACATTGAAATGACATTCTTTTGTGCTGGTTGTTGCAGGTTATGCTGTGAACAGGTGAGGCTAGAAATTTTCCTGCCTAAGTAGTCCACCTTCCCTTCGAGTAACTGGAGAGCACGAATACTCTCTGCTTGTACTGCACCACAGCTGACAGTTTATTTTCCCTACTATGTGGGACAATGCATTACTGACTCTTGACTTCCGTCATATCCGTGTGCACAGTATCCTCTTTCAGCGGGGCATTTATCCTACAGAGAACTTCGCCAAAGTGAAAAAGTATGGCTTAACCATGTTGATTTGTGAAGATGAGAAGGTGAAGACATTCATCAATACTGTGACCAAGCAAATGGGAGGTATCTATCTCTCTATTCAGACCGTCTCCCATTTCAACCTCGCTTATAATATGCTAAGCTGAATTTTTTCTCTTTTCAATGTTCTGGTTTCATCTTTGTGGACTTCAGAGAAATGCACTGAAGAGTGTGACTGAAGGCTGTAAGAAGTAATAACTATGGTCTTCCACTCTGCACATACATCACTAATTAGAAACTCAAGGTCAATAATAATCTCCTTCTAGAACGTGCATACAGTCCACATAGATTGGCATCCAGTGTCGCGTCACCTCCCTTCACAGAAAACCGAGACCTTCTCCTTCTGAGATGACATCGTGTTCATTGATTACCTCTCTTGTCGCAAATTTGCAAAACACGGAGACACGTGATTGCACTATCAATGTCAAATTCAGTGATTGTGTCTTCATTTGAACTCCTCTGTAAGCTAGCCGCAGATACTCCCTGCACTATAATGAGTTGATGTAATCTTATAATCTTCATAGTTTTGTGGGCCTCAGACGTAGTGAAAGATATGTGGGCTAATACATGATTTGTTGTAACATGATACAGATTGGTTAGAGACAGGATCACTAGAGAGAGTGGTGCTTGTTATTGCCAGCATTGCATCAGGAGAAGTTTTGGAGAGATGGAGCTTCAACATTGAGACGGACAAGGAAGTAACTGAGAAGGGGTAATTTTAACAATTGAAGCTATTCTCATGGCGAACTCAAACTCATGGTTGAAATGTTACTCATTGGCTCTCCATCATGTCCTGAATCCTCATGTATTGCCCACATGGGATGCTTCCTTGTAGTATATATTCACGCTGAGTTGATGTTGGTATGTTCAGCGTGACCAGAGAGAAACCGGACAAAGAGATCATGACAGATATACAAGGAGTGATGCGACAGATAACGTCCAGTGTCACCTTTCTACCTCACCTTGATGAAGCTTGTGAGTGGAGATAAATGCCTGGAAGTTTTGAATAGATCGCGTCGCTTTATCTAAATGCAAGTCAGTCACTGTTTCTACAATACTTCCAACAGCTTTTGACTTTTTGCAGGTACATTCGATTTGCTGGTTTACACACCACCTGATTCCAAGGTCCCACCTCTCTGGGGTGAGAGTGATGCTCGACTGATAAACAATCCTCAGGTTGTAAAACTGCGTTCCGTGGATACCAAGGTGCGGCACTCAATACTTGGCTCCTATTGAAGTTTTCTTCCTATTTTACATTAGATGGCGTATCTATGTAGACATGATTGCCTGACACATCGTCTGCCCTTTTCAGTTGATTAATAATCTCAAGTTGGAATCAGGGTTGGAAAATTTAGTATGTAGGCTTTGCAGGATTTAAAGTTTCCCCTACTTATTACCTTCGTGCGCTCATACCCTCACAGGTGCACCGAGTGGATGCCATGGTAGCGTTTAAATACGATGGATGAATGTACCCCGTTATTTTGTCCGATTGTCAACTTGATCAAGTTGACACATACTATTTCAATCTTGGAGCTCTCTCAGCTCCAACCTATGTCAGTCAAGCTTACAGCAGGTACTTGAAGGAGTCTCTGTAGTGAGTTGTGTCGCATTTTCGTTTATACAGTATGTACATAGTTTTGAACACGGTAATTACTGTACCGTGTCCTTGTATGTAGGCATTATAACGTTTTTCATAGCTACTTAGTGTGATTTATATGAGCTTTTGAGAGCGTATGCAGGAGTCATGTTGTTACATGACAAGTATACGAGGTAAAGTTAGAAGAGTACGGAACTAAGCGTGGTTTTAAACGAGAGATCGAGTGCGTTCTTCATGGATGACATGAGCACTGGCTACTTTATTAAGGGCTGAAAGGCATTTGCTTTCAATTTCACAAGAAACGCCTCTCACACAATTGTAGTCTCCAAGTGGTGATTTATCCTGTGTCTATTCTTCATATCAAGATGCCGAGATTTTCAACACGGCGCGCTTTGCGTGAAAACTCTCAACAACAATAGATTGTTGTGGACGTTCAAACTCCGGAAACTATGGCGATCTCCCACTGAACATAAAACTTGAGGATAGATTGTGTACGAAGTGTATCAAAACGAAAAGGATATAAAGACGAGGTAAACAAATCTTCCTCCGAATTTTTGTCTGAAAAGTTCCCAGCAACCTTGACATAATTAAAAACAAACGTATAGAATTAGTCACTACATGCAATTTGGCTGCCTTACACATGTAACCTACTGAAGATACTTGAAAGCTCCCAAATATTATGTAAGGATATAAATATGCGAAATCTTCTGAACTGACAGCTCCATATGACAATTCAGGTTGGTTTGACTACCGTCCCCATCCGTTGTATTCCGGACCCCTCACACGATAATATTAATAATCTTTTGTTGCCATCTATCCTAAATTGGATGATCGACAGTAAGTGCACTCACCAACGTCGTTGAGTATGCGTGGAAAGCGTCTCCACAGAACAGAGAAGGATATGGCGAACCGCGAACATGAGGGAACAAAAGCAGTAGAGTAGAAGCGCATCTTCACTGCACCGCTTTTCACGAGGAATATGGGATAAACTTTGAAATCTTCAGGACGCTAACTTTTTCAGACGGATGAGGTATAGTGAAGCGTGTGATGCACAACACCAGCAATACATTCCTTGGACGCGACAGCAAGCGGCGAAGCTGTATATAATTGCCACTCCGCTAGTTCTATATCAGCGTCCTTGAGGTTAGTGTATCTCCGATCATTCCTTCCTCATTCCACCTTTCCCTGGATCTTCTTGATGCTATTCTCACTGCCTGGAGTGACGTGCTAGGAAGGATAGAGTTCCATACCTCCCAGTGGGGTGATAACTCTTGTGACTTACCGATTCTCATATCATTTTGAAGTAGGTCAAGATCCACTTTGTAGATAGGCCTATTGTACTGTACGCATTGTTCCCCCACCCGTGTTATAACTGTTTTGGGCTGACAATGGTCTTAGACTTCTGCGAGATATATTACCGAGCTTAATCTCATGTTTTTGATCGGGGTTGATTGCTTGTCATTTACATGTTTTGTATTTACAGCATGAGATGTTGAAATTTTCAGTTGATATGCGTCATGACGTTTACAGATTGCCTTAGCACAGGGCTATGTTTAAGCTAACCAATTTGGCGAACGGTATGTTGTACTACATGCTTTGTTGTTGGTAAGAAGATAGATGGTAGTGTTATGACTAAGCAGCCGCGATTGCTGTTCGCTTGTGGCAGGAGCAGAGTGGAGGTCCGATCTATCCAATGAGAAGCACAATCCGGTCTTAGAGTGCTCGAGGAACATATGTTGATTAATTTGTAAGGTCCCAATGCTTCTATTGTTATAGAATCAGGTGCAATGTAATTTCATCAAAGAGTTCAGATCCAATACTGGGCACTGTAATTGGTGTATATTATAGTACTTCGTTCTAGGCACAGAACTTGCTTCGTTTGACATAGATATGTCTCTTGCCGCATAGGTTCTCACTAATTCGTGAAGGAGAACTAGTGTAACGAGGTTTTCAGGTTCAGAGGTCTGATCTGAGCTCTGAGGTCTTGAGAAGATGGTGATGGTCAATGATGCCAATTTTACAAATTAGGACACTCCTTGTGACGCAGGACACTTGAATTTGTGTTGGGAACAGCAAATTGTTTGCATTTAGCAACAAAATAGTAAAGTTTGTCACCTGATGCGTAGTAGGAACTTACGAGATGGACAGAATACGCAGAGAAAGTGGATTGCTTCCAGTTCTAATTTGTGCATACTTTTCATCTCGCAAGGTTCTATTTCTGTTTGAAAGTGAGAGAGGAAGGCGCAAGCATCAGGTTTCTGTCACAAATCCCAGAGGATTTCGCATGCTTTGATACCTTGGACCTCAAGACGTGTTGTGAAGCAAATCGTGAGGTCTCTATACTGGACATCGAGTTGGCGATTTTTCGATGATATCTGAACACCAACCGAGGATGTCATGGAAACAGACCAGCTCGCTGTCTGTCATCCCGTGACCCTGCATTGTTGAACTTTCTTAGCCTTTACCCCAAGATGTACAACACAGTTTAGTCTGCATCTCTAAAGACATACTTTCATCTCCGAACAGTTAATCGATGTCACAGCCCTGGCATTGTCCTTCATGCTCAACATCACAACTGGGGGTTCATCAATCGGCTCAAAGAAGACATCCGGTGTGAGAGAAGTTGGATCATAAGAGATGGTGAGGATCTGGTTCATTCTCGAATTCAGTCTCATATCGAATCAAAAGAGAACGCTCATTCTTTCCATCTCTCGTGACCCTTCTTCCCCGGTCGTTGAATACTTATCAGGAAACTCGAATTCATAGACTCTCTTCCGGGTTGTGATTACAGATGATTCGTGGTAAGATCTTACATAGTCTTTGTTTGACACAGATAACTTTATCTTGTTCGCGATACAGGTAATACTTCCAACTTCCATCCTTGAAAATGATCCGATTTTACGTCTCTGAAGCAGGGATCCTCTAAGTTAAAATTGGGAACAAATCCATTCTACAATGATTATTATTTTAGCCGGGAATTTGTGGCATACGAGACTACTGAAGAATTTTTATTTGATATACAGGAGCACAGGTTATACTCCAAGGATGTGGACTTTGCAACAACCTAGAAGAAGTAAAATCCTTTCAAGTCATAGGGCTAGACCTGATAGAATCATATTGTCAAAATATGCAAACTCTCATTGAAGTTACTGATTTATAAGTTGTGTTGTGTCTCTAATTATCAAACGATGATAAATATGATTTTTCTTGGATTTAAAATAATTTACTAATGATGAATATTTATATAAAAAATATAAATTTAAATTGTAGATGTTGAAATAAATATTCTATTAAATGTAAATTATGCCTAAATTACGAAGAGTGAGGAGTAAAAATCTAGATTTTCAATTATCTTGAGATTCAAAATCTTATCACATATGAATGGATTCTATAAGAATTATTTCCTAATGCTATAAAACGTGGACATTCAAGACAAAAAAACTAGAATTTCTGTTTTAATTATAGTATAATTTTTTATAAAGCATTATTCTAAACTAGTAGGTATCCATAACTTTTGGACAATGTGAAGTTAACCCCGAGGTGACGTCCAACATGCCCCTCTCTGGCAAACCGCTTCCGGTAGACGCTGATACTCCAAAGTGCTTCACTCCTTGTTCATTGGTTCGATGAATTTTGTTTTGTTGTGAACGGGGAGGGAGGGAGAGAAAGAAAGACACGAACAATTAAGTTAAAGTTTCTGAGAAAGTTAAACCTAATTTTCATTAGGGCTTCATAAACACTATGTGTTATTTTAATAAGGATGGATTTAATAATGTTGAATGTTTACTATCGTTAATAGATCATATGACACGAGATAGAAATTTTAATTATCTTTCTGTCCTATATATATATATATATATATGGAAAAAAATAGATATTTATATATAATATTTGTTATGACAACAATTGTATTCTAAAAGTATCAAATTTTTTCTTATTTTAGTTATTTCAATTGAAAACAATTATTTTGATCATGTTTATTATTTTATTTCATCTGAAATTTCTATATTTTATAGTACATTGGGAGATCATTTAAATAAAAAAATTTTAAAATCAATATTTACATATTGTATTCATCTGGAAACAAATATTTATATATGTATTATTCAAATTTTAAAAGTGACCAAAAATATCTTATTTACAATTAAAACTTATTACACAATAAAAATCAATGATCAATATCCCTAATTTTACTCAAAAATAACGATAACTCCGTCGGCTTATGGTAAAAAATAATAATAATTTTCTTTTCATCAATGAAATTCAGTCTATATACTTCCTCAGACCTACATCAACCAAGAAAGCGAGGACTTCGGCTATCATCTGTCTCCAGCAGTGGTCGGTACCTTGTATAAAGAGGGGAACTGAACACGAACCGAGAAAGTGAAAACTTTGTCATTCTGTTTCCAGGTCCATCACTACTGCCGTATGTCACATTTATAAGCAAACACGCAGACAGGAAGAACCAAATCCTGATTTGGCACCATAACCACGTAGGTATTTGAATGTCTGGAGATCGAAAGTGATCGGTCCGTTTTCAAACCTAACATACATGACAAAAATGTCGAGAAGATGCTCGGAGCTTCCAAACAACCATCGGCAAATGCCTACGAGAGTTACAGGGGGAAAAGTAATTTAACAAAAGCAACCCAAATCTCGTCAGTAGAGTAGTTGAAGATTCCTTCTACTTGTAAATGAACCAACAGGGATGGATACATTCATGTTAGTCTGTCTAGAATTAGACTCTAGAGTTGCAGCCCGATGTGCCCCACGGAGTATCGGAAACAGGAGTGATTTTCTGGATATTTAACTAAAAGATGAAACGATGAGGCCCACAGGCAGTGGAGGAGAACATATGACCTTCGTGGAGTTTTGAGAATTATCGAGGACAATGGCATTGCTCCGGCTTGTGAATATAGGAAAGACAGCACACTACAAGGACGTAGTAGGTCAGATGCGTTGGCCTCAAAGAGGTGTGCTGCCTCCACCCACCAAGGCAAGAGTCAGCGTGTCCGTCTGCAACCATGAGGACCAACCAACAGTTTTCACACAAGCACAATTGAACAGGTCGGAAACTTTTGGAACACGGACACTTCCCAGCCACCTGTAGCCCGCGCATAGCCCAATGTGAGAATGTCAAGGTTATTAATGAACCTCCTGTCAGAAATCAGTACTAAAGTCCCTCCAATCACACGGTCCATTAGAGCTGTACAAACTGGCAATTCCATGGACCCCGCACCCCAGGCGAACGGCCCTATGAGAGTGTCGACTTGCAAATGAAACCAAAAGTCTTATTCAATCATCTCTGCAGTGTATACAATGCCCGTAAAATCTTCACAACGTACTTAAAGTTTCCACAACTGACACTACCTGCCATTCGGAAAAAGCTGACGAAAATGCACAAGATTCAGTCGATTTCTGATTTGGATCGACAGAGGAGAACAAAGCTGGAATCAGAGAAAGTACTCGCTCGAAATGTCGGCCATTATAATATAAAAAAAATGTAGACACATAGGTATCCATTGGGTTCAGACCATCCACAGTTTATCTAAATCAGGCGTAATATGTACAATAAAGCCGCCGACATCTTCGGAAAGGTGGACTTGTTGGTCCTAGGCTCGAAAAACTTTGCTGTAAACTACTTCCGAACAACAATTTGTTACAAGGGTAATCTAAACTAAACATGATTCCCGCATCTCGATCACTCCTGAGAGGCAGTGATTTTTTGTCTGTACATAAAATTTGCTTGACAAAGCCAAGCGCAATGGATCGATACGATGAAAATACACCAGAAGAGGCGAAACCTGCTGCCGCTGCATTCTCCTGCACGGGCGTTTCGCAACCCTATTTCGGTTGGGAACAGCAAATTCTCCCTCTCAATGTGAATAAACCTGGAGACGGACGGCCTCACATTGAACCGAGTCGAACTCTCGAGTTAGGAAAATATCTTAACAGATCAGGAAGCCGAGAACGCCCTGAAAATTACGACGGGGCTTCCAAAGAATTTTCCATTTTCTCCGAGCAGACAGAACGTATAAGAATGGTGTCTTTCACTCCTCTATATGCGACAGTCCAATCCGACAGGTAAATACTCAATTCGATGGAAAGCACGAAGAAAACTGCGGTGTACACTCGTACGACTGGTATGGCTTCCACACTGACATTTCAATGTTTTACGCATTATACTTTCCTCGCCAGATGCCAAGTATGTCCAACCGTCCTGGAGTTCCTGCGGAAAATTACACACCGGCTGCTGTAGCTCTCTAATTCCGTTTCTCTTAACTTGAAAAGTCCCGAGACTCGATCAGTTGAAGAGACCATGCAAAGAAGTAATGGTTCCCCAGATCCCGAAGATGAGACCAAACACTATGAAAATGTAGTCTATAGCATACTCATGCCACATGAGCTCATCCGAAAACACGTGCAGATGGACCATAGCAGGCATGACGAAAGAGAGAATGCAGCATACGCTGTTCCCGACGAGCGAGAGGAAATCGCCAAAATGGGGCACGGCGACCGCCATCCAAGCAATCACTACGATGGTGATGCATCTGACGGGAAGAGAGTTCCTGCCGACGATTCTCCGCTCCAACACCTCGTGCACCGGGTGCATCATCACGGGGAAGGTGAAGAACAGGCCCATGCACAGCGCGAGCTTGATGATGGTGGTTTGCCAGCTATCTCCGAGATTTAGGGTGATGATATCCCTCGTCGATTCTCCAAATGCGAAGTAGCCGAGACAGGCAAACGTTGTGTACACGAGACCTATGCAAGTCATAGCCAGAGCCAGAGTTTGGCCAAACTTGGATCTATCCTTCATGTTGCTCTCTAGAGGGAGAACGAGGCCAAATCCCTCGAAAGAATAGATTGCCACCCCGATGACGAACGGGAGGGATCCGAGCCCCGTGAAGGAGTCCACACTACTGATTCCTCTCTCTCTGAACACGACGATGTCCGCGCTCATCACGACGGCCATAGCTGAGAAATTGGCAACGTCTGCGAATATGCTGAACGGCGCGAGGCGGGTGAGGGATCGAATTGACGCCAGCAGCACTTGCATGGGGAACACGATCCAGATGTACACGGACTTTCCTTTCCACCCGACCCACGCGGCGCCTATGCTACTGAGAATTCCTCCGATGCTGTAAATGTGTCCATCGTCACGGGACGCGCTACTCAAATCCACCCATCCGGATGCCGAATTGTCCACTTTGTCCCCGTTGCTGGAGAAGACGGTGGCCAAATTCTCGCCGATGAAGATCAAATAGGCGACACAGAAACCTCCCTGGCTCAATACGACCATTAAATCCACGGCAAATTGCCCTGCTTTGCCATAAGTGAAGAGCCCTAAATCGCTGTACGTTTCCATCCCATCCACTCCGTCGTTCTCCAATTTCCTCTTCGACTGTACAAGTAACATCATCGTGTAGTAACAAGCAGCGGCGACGGCTAGCAGCACCAAACATCCCGACAGCCATCCGGACTGCAAAAAGGTGTAGGGCAAGCCCAAAACTCCAGCCCCGACGATGGAAATCACTATGTTTCCGAAAGTCTTCTTCACAGAAGATAGAGGATGCCCATGCACAGCAGCGGGACGCGAATTTCCAGAGGGCAGAAGAGGCGCCTGATCAGAAGAACGAAGAGCGCTCGTTACTTTCGCACTAGGTCTCGATTGCAGTGCGGACGCGACGTCATTGGGATTGATGAACGTCATCCTCTTTACCGATCAGCTGAAAAATCCGCGAGCTTGTCGCCGGCTCAACCCACCCCTACAACCCGCCCCAGTCCCAAGAAACTAGAAAGTCCCCGCGAATTTTATCGTGACTCCGGAGAGCACGAGGGAGAGGACGAAGAGATTGGGAAGAGACAGGTCCGGGTCTCTCCTAGTGAACTCCGGAGTTTTAATGAATGAAGGGATGGGAAGCAGCCACAGCTACCTCAGAGTCACTGCTGGAGGGTCCGTGTCGTCCCGTCGAATTCTTGGCAAAAGAGTATGCAGCGAACATCATTCGACGAAGGGGTTATAAAACGCGAGCATCAACAGCAGTAGCCTCCGGCGGGAGGGGTAGAGTTGAGGTGCAACCAAGAGGCCAAATTAAGAACTCGAAACAGGGAGCCACAAGATTCGAACGAAAGAAACCAGTCGGAACCACTTTAACTGTTGACCCTTCGCCAAACTGCACAAAAGTACAATATTAGAAGCAGTCGAGCAAAGCTACACGCACAACGCCTCGCCGCTGGGACCACCAATAGCAGATCCAATCGCTCTCCTGCGATCCCCTCTACTTTTCCCTTTCCTCGCATTCCTTGGTCGTCGAGGCTCCGAGAGAAACCGCAAGTTTCCGAGCTGGTCGCGGATCGCCCGTCTCGAAAATGGGCCGGGCCCACGAGCACGAGCAATCCCTAAAACGACGTCCCGTCACCTTCGTACGCTTCTTCTTTGTCAGCCCGATGCTTTGGGACAGTTTGCCTTTGAAGGAGGAATCTTCTCGTCGCGGCTTCGGAAGCTGATGACTGAGCATGCCTCGAGCGCCACCGGGAGCGACGGTTTCCAGATTTGTGACTGGCTGGAATGACGCAACAACGGCTGCATAGTTGCGCTGTTGCCTTCGATCCCTCACCGTCCAACCTCAAGGCGCCCGTCATGTCAAGTCATGTCCCTCGGCGAAAGTCTTCTCCACGGCGAGCAATGATTTCCCCGACTGCCCAGAATTATTTATTTCCTTGAAGACCCTGTACTGATCCTCCCCCTCCAACTTGGAAGGAAAATATCGTCCTTCTATGCTAATATCGTCCTTCTGCTGTTGGGGATTTGGAGTTAGGACATATTTTTCCTCTACTACTCTTGCCAGCTAAAAGGAGGGGCTGACCTAAACGGGTGACATTCCAAACCTTAATCTAAGGATTCTTTCAAACCACCAATCGGCTGCTTTTTTCCCATCTAGTTTTTTGTGAAATTATATCCACATTTGCCCAGGCCGTAGGAAGGAAAGGAGGGATTTATTAGAGAAGAATCCTCTGTAAAAATTAATTGTATGAATAAGAAGAATATTCATATGATATGTAGCACACGAAGTGTCAATTATGTCTTAGAAATGGGGATGTATATTGGATGCTAAAGGAATAAAAATATGGAAAGTACATGCCTGAGTAACAGTAATATATGACATATACAAAAGACTTTGAATGGCAAAAACGTCGGGCTCGGTAGTGGAACATAAAGGTCATCCAAATCCATAATATACTCTGATGTTTAAAAAATGTATGTGGGGTAGAGAAGAAAGTGATTGAAGGCTATAGATCCCTTATTCCGATAGAACACTCCTTTAGGAACAACGGTTATCTACCTCCCGACCATGATCTCATCTCGACGCATTCGTCTGAATAGTATAGAAATAAAGTCATGATATAATACATACTGAAGCACTAAGTTGCGCATCGCCGACCGTTGGCATCTATGATTTGACCCAGTATAGAATGGGAGAAGTATTAGTTTAAGAAATCGGCTTGTATTGTTGCAGTCACAAACTGAACAAACAGACACGAATAAGCGTTTTGAAAAACCTGCTGTCGACAGCCTTTAGAGAAATATTATATCTTGACAATTATTTATTTATTACTTGCATTTGCATAGCCACATGTAGGTTTGAGAGAGAGGCAATATACAAGTTGGAGATCTATTGTCTTCACCCCAATATTAGTTGTTCCCCATGAGTCTCACATTTATCGTGTACGACTCATGCTAATAAGTAGAGCACATCATCCACAGGAGCCTAATTTCAAGTGCATAGCTCAGCTCAATGATATATGCTTGGTTGTTTCACCCACAACTAGAATAAACAAGTGAAATGAAGAGAGTTTTGAGAGTCAATGAGCATGGAGTGGGTCTATGTCTATGTCAAGGTAGAATGCTACTCCTAGTTTTGTGAAGCCCCACGTTTTGCTAGGCCTATGTTACTCGCTGGGTTTGAGCAATGTAAGACGATGGGATTCTCTTGCTTTCTTAAGAATATATTATGCGAAGAGCGAGAGCGGTTTCTGCACCTTGATTCAGGATCGAGGATCGACGAAACGTGCTGAGCTTGGGACAGTGTAAACGTCTGCCCCAGCCCTGGGGGGTCAACAAAATCTTCTACAGCATTTATTTATTCTTTACGAAAGCTGAGACTGACATGCTTCGTTTCAGCAGAAAACGTTAGAGAAGTTGAAGTCGGTTAACTTGAAGAAAGTTATAAATAGCTTTGCAAGCTAAGCAAAATTTTGTGTAACCACAAGAGTAACATTGAGTTGGATTTATGTAATTTATTTTTAGGAGCAACGTTGTGAGTTGGACTTTTTCTTACATGGATATCTCCTTATCCTTATGTAATGCTGATTTCTGTGTAAAGTCCAGCGATTGATTTCGACAATAGTACTTATGGGTGCTTTTAACGATAAACGCTATGAGACTGTGACAAGCTGCAGATCTCAACTCTTCAAGATTAAATTTGTCGACGTATATTCTTAAATAGTAATGAGGAGCATGTAGTTCAATCATATCTCCCACGAGGATACGAGGTTTTCTCCCTCGTACCTCGTACCCTTATCAAACATATTGGTGCTTCATACCTTCAGTTGCAACATTACCTGGTACCTCAGAGACAGGAGATGGACTTCTTCAGTGCGTTGCTATCCATTGTTTTCGTGTGCGCGATGTTTTCGTCTTCGAGCAGTAGTCCCAACTCTGGGCCACCTGGGGTTTCTCACCATGGCCACTGAAGTTCCTGAACGGCGGTAGTTATTCATGCCCTGGGAGTAATCTGCCAAAGTGCCCTACTGTGCAACCAATCATCCTTCTCTGAAGGAAAAGCAGACTTTTCCTTCCCTTCACAGTGAAGGGACGCCAGCTGCACACGACGTGTCTGAAAATCTCGACCATGATGCCAAAAACGGCACCGTCCAACTCGCATTCATCTCGTTTCCCTCCAGGTATACATTTCCGCTTTCTTTTCCAAAGCTCAGCTCTCATCTCCTCGTCTTGAACTCCCTTACTTCCACTTTGTTTTGTAAATTTGTACATCGCCAGGTAGGCAATCTCTTCTAGTTAAAGCGTACAACTTGTTCAGTAACCTTTAACACTTACACGCCCATAGACAAGTGCTAGGGGCAAGATGGATACTTTCTGCAACTGAAGTCGTCATGACGGACCGAAATGAGAAAGAGTATCGAACGAGGTATGATAAAGAATTTGTCTGTATCTCCAGTGACATCATGACTATCTTGTTAATAAACACCGAATCTACTGGCATAATGGTAATGGAGAGATCTATGAGTTTGCCCATCGTTCTCTTCATCCCCGGCGTTCCACTTTCCGCGATCTGCGGGTTTCATTGAGTTTGGAGAACAATAAAACCTTCCCTCCACGTATTTAATCTTTCACATTTACCTGATCCACAGTTTTCTGTGTATTTTTTGATATGGATTTTGCTTCACACATCTTCTGTCACACAAGCACGAAATACAACAATGGTGAATCACTCAAAACAGTGATTGACGTGTCATCGCTCCTCAAATTGCAGTTGAGATTGACATTTCTACGCTGTTTTTGGTAAATGCAGAGACAAACTGCCGATGCAAATTAAGCACATGTACAGCTAAATATATATATCGTCTTCCAATTATTTGACAACCTTACCATAAACAATGGAAGCAAGCACAGTAGTTGAGCTGCTCCGCATGTACTGCTGTGCAAAATGATTGGTAGTGTAACTCCCTCGAGAAGCCAGGTGTCTGAAATTGAACAAGTCACTACAGATCCATCCGATTTGTCTGCACATCGAATCAACATCCTCAAGCTGTGAGGTCAGTTTTGTCAGGAAGGAAACCCGGCACCAACTACCGTGTCCTATTCGGTATGATATCGGGTCCTGCCCTGCCCAAGCCAGGCCTGGAAATCTCGTGAGATATATTTCCTTCAGTCATGGACGGTTGCAAGTCAGGAGCATGCCTTGTGCGGAAGACTTTTTAACTTCTTCAAGTCTGGCACTGTCAGGGTCATACAAACTGAGGACGTTGTGTAATGCACTACTCAAATGTCCCTAACAAGAAACTACGCGGAAGATCGTGACCTACATCACTGACAAAACTGGAATTCAGAAATTTTGCTGATTTAATACATCTCTGAACCAGTTTTGCCGGGGGACAATGCTTCGGTTAAATCTGAGGTTCTCTAGTGAAACTACTATGGAAATGAAGAAGAACTCCGACAAATCTTTGAAGGTAGCCAACGGAGATAGCTCAGTAATACGGACATTGGATCTTAGAAGTTAGAGAAATGGATGGGATTTCCCAAATTGCAGACGTATTTACTACATCCAAGTTCTGACTCCGATGGGCGTGGCAACGTCAAGATTGCTAGGTTTTTCAAATCAAGTGGCAAGGTATTGATAGTCAGAAGTCAACTAGTAACAGAACCAAAAGCATCGTAGATCTCATCAACTGGTACATAAAATCCAAACATGTAACATGGGTATAATACCCAAAACCATCTCACATTTCACTTGACATATATCCCACTATCTACTTAAAACAATGTACAAACAACATAGCATCTTGTAGCTTTTGCTTTATGTGGAACAATGGAATCATGATGCTTGAAATATGCTACGATAAGCTAAAGAAAGTGATACTCCATTGAATAAAATAGTAGAATCTTGTGTAATCTCTTGTCATGTCAAAGTCAAACATGTCATCTGCACTTTTACAGAACTTCAAGCAAGATAAACATATAGTTCTCTTTTTCATATACTTTGAGAACTTGATGCTGGCGCTCGGTCGCCGTCGATCCAAATATATCAATAATGATCATGTTTGCAACAATGACTTAGTTGTTTCCAACACTCTATCCATATCGGATATGACATGTTCAACCGCATCTGTAATAACAAACATCATTCTTTGTGTCATCTTTTATTATAATTACATCCTTCAAATGTAAATGAGTCATATCAACACATATTCTATGAGTATGAGAAATTCTATATTCACATACTCACACATGCGTGATGAAGATGTGGATGTATTGAGAACTCGATTACTGTTTTGATACTCATAAGTATCCGGCAGCACAACTTAATTGGACAAAAGATAATCTCTTACACTAACATTCTACGAACCCTCGGGTATAGTAAACTTACGGCAGAACTAACATTAGAAAATAAAATTTTTTCTCTGCTCTACATGGCATGTGCAGGTAATAAGTATTTACACATTTCCGGCTCAGACTTGAGCTATTCTTAAAACCCTAAACATTAGATTATATGGCGGCAACTTTAAGTTACGTGGTGGCTAAATCTATCTGAGAGTTAGGCTAACACGCAGGGGATGAAAAAATAATATTTGAATTCATATCTTCATTGGATTGAATCTCATTGTTTAAAAACATTAAAACTTGTCCAAGACTGAGTCAAGATTTAATACAATATTTTCTTGTTGGAGCGAAAAGATAAATGAATCTTTGTACTTGAAACTTATTAATTTCACATTAAACAAATATAAATTGATTGAAAAAAAAATTGCAATTTTTTTCTCTACTTATTCATGTAGTAAATTTTCTGCAAGTGCAGCTTGTTATACAAAATCTCTGAAAAAGTAGATTTTAAGTTATTACGTATGCTTTTTCATAACATCATACATAGCTTTATTTATTCTTATTTTAAGAAAAAGAACTAATTTAACTGCTTACCTATATAATTCTGAAGTAACTCGCACAATTTTTACTGTATCAAATATTTTATCAGTGATAATTTTCCACAAACTCATATGCTAAAATATATTTAGTTATCATCTCTTATTATAGAGTTCTTTTCTCGACTACTTTTAATCAATCATGTCACACAACTAAATTAAACATATATATCAACACATCCAAAGTATGTAATCATCTTGCTTACCACATCATATATTAGTTCCGATCATCTGTTTTGATAGACGCGTGATAAGATTACTGTATTCCGTCACACTTTACGTCCAGCAAAAGAGATATAGTTTGAGTGTGACAGCAACTCAAAAATCATATCATCACATCTGCCACTATAACTTGTCTTTCTTTAAATGTATAGATCCACCCTTGCAATTTAATGCATACTACACCTCTCTTCAAACTCTGTATAGTTTAATTTTATGAATGAAGAGTATATTTCTATAATTTTAAGAAAAGGAACCATACAAAACATTATTTCTTTCATGAAATAGCAAATAGCTTTTCTATATTGTACAAACGAATATTGTTGATTCTGAAACGATACCATTATGAAGATGTGAAATAATGGATCGCACCTTCGGAAATTTATCCTTATGTAAAAATAAATTGTGCGACCTGAAATGTATCTTTTCTTTTTGAACCCAAATCACTGGTTCTTCTTTGTCCTTAGCCCTCCATCTCTTAGCTAATATGTATCACAGTAGCATTAACGTAGGTGTTTACAATTCTCCTGGTACATATTATTTGTATCATGTCCAATCTAATTGCTAATGACAACAATTCCAAATGGACAAAGAAAGCAAGAGAACTAAACGGATATTCAGTCTTTTGTGCTACAAACCGAGTTCTTCTTTAGTGTGCAAGTGGGTGTGACATCATCTTTGGTTCATTGCATTTAAGAAAATCGAGTATAACAATCATAAAATATAACCTGCAAAGCGTTTTTTTGAAGGTGAGTCGTGCTCAATCCCAATTGGTACAGTCAGAGGAGTTACGGCCACAGTAAGGTACAGGAAAGAAACCTCAGAACTCATGATATCCGCATGGTCACCACGGAGAAGACACTGCAAGAAACTACTGGACCTTGAGACTAACAATACGTGTCCGGATAAAAAGACGAGTTGACTAGATCAAATAGCTTGCTTATCAACCAACCTGAAGACACAACCTGACAGTATATTTGAAGCTGAGAACGTACTAGACCAAACCAGCCAGGAAGAATCTCTTACTTCAAATTGCAATGAACCACGTTTACAATCTGATCATGGGAAATTGCAAAATGTGGTCACTCATGTAGACAAGAATGATCTCATCCACATCCCCGATGAACACTGATAGTCAGTAAAGAGTGAAAGCATGTCAATACTTCAAGTTCTTCAAAACAGCACTTCGATCAGTTTATTTAGTCTTTCCGTACAGACGACAAATAGATCCTTTGAACACAATTATAGAAATCGCCGAGACCACCGCTGAGCCATTATATGCTCAGTGGTGAAATAATTTACATCTCCAATTGGAACTAGATGAGGAATTCCACTAAACGTTGCAATTTGGAGCCACCAAAGAATAGAGGAAAACAATGGACACTGTGGTTGGCTTCAGCTCAAGAGCTGGACAAAGGAAGCTTCCCTTGAAGCGATTGGCTTTAAGTTGAGCTTCCAAGAAACTGGGGCTTCAGAACTCTCCAGATCGGATCATGGCTGCTTTGCAGAATGATACGACGTCTCCTAAGGATAACATCTTTCAACTATGCACACTTTCTCACTAATCGCTTATAAACAAGATTGTTGCCAGGATAAGAGGCTGCAGTTATATGCACTTCATGAGAGTGGACTCTTTATGTATGTGCATTTTACTGTCCAATTGTTATGTGAAATTTTACCCAGCAGCATATACCACACCTAGATAGGACGCCTAAATGGTTCAATACCCCATATTTGCTCTGCATACTCCTTAATTGTTCTATCACTACTAAACTTTCCTGAACCAGCTGTACTCATGATGCTCATTTGAGTCCACCAAGCGCGATCAACAAATGCTGCGTCCACGGCAGCCTGCAGGAGCAACGATAGAATTGATAACTTTTGGTGATCAATTATTCTATATCAAGGTTCATATCAACAAGAGCTAAAACCTGTCTAACTTCTTCTACTAGCTTCCAGGAATTGAAAGCTAGAAGGCATCCATAAGTTCATTAGATTGACCACATGAGAATCATCAAGACACGACTGCCCACAGAGGCGCATTGGAAATGTAAACAAAGGAATAGTTAACATGCTTCGACTTACGTCCTTAGATTAACCACATTTAAAAAAACTTGCAAAATTTTGTTCCAACAACCATGTCCCCTGACCGGTCCACCAAATTTTGCAAGGAGGTACTTACTTGTGCTGCTAGATACTCCTGGAAGTCGTTCCCGAGAAGATAAAAGTCTCCTCCCTGACCTTCAAGCGTATCACAAAGGACGTGCATGTGCTCTTGATGGCCGAAAACGCCATTCCTCAACATCCTGACCAGTCACATGTTAGATTGATCAGCCATCAGTCAAGACAGGCGGCAGTTTGTTGAGAGATAAACTTAGCTTCTCATACATACCCAATGACGCGCGTGAACAACCGAGGCGGTTGGAAGTCCCGTCGCTCCGCTCTAAGCTTCGGAACTTGTTCTGCCGTGACTCCGAAGAGAAACTTTGGAAGAAATACCATTTCAAGTACAGCATTAGAAAACTATACACTACACATCGTTATGAATGGCAAGCATTGTATGACTAAGATATCTGAAAGCTAATCTCGCTTCCCTCAACAGAACTTTCAATTCGATCCTGAATCTGACGGAGGAATCAGAATTCCTACATCTCATCTACTGCGGCGATGTCAAAAAGAAAGACAACCAAAAACTTACGAAGTACAACCTTAAATGGGTTAGCATAGTGACCTACAATGTTTTCTTTGCCTATTTCTTTCTGGATTTCGACATTGGCTCCATCATGAGTACCCAATATTATACATCCGTTCATTGCGAATTTCATGTTACTCGTTCCAGATGCTTCGTTTCCAGCAGTACTGCACATACCAACAACGGCAATTAAGCAAGTCAGGTAAAGTAGTTCTTGAGGTAAAATCAAGTTGAGTGCTTGTTCAGGTGTGGCCAGTGTCGTACTAAATACCGGACCTGAGTGTCACTAACGCAATCTCACCTAGGCCCTTATGGATACGAAGTTCAGGGTGACCACAGTACAGTCCATTGGTATATCTGGTAGTCCTAAAGGAGATTCAGAAGCACATGCATTTACAAAGACCTACTAGTATTACAAAGCTTAGTGATCAACAACTCAGTAGCCAAAAACGTTTCACACTGGAAACAAACATTGACCTTAACGAACTATTTAAATAGAACGTGATCCACCTTAGTTAACAAAGTGATGAGAGGTAACCTGATGTGTTGTGATAAGTCACTTGCTGGAATTATAAGCTCAGCAACAGACACGTTATAGTCTGGCACAAATATCTGCACGGTTCACAGGTGTCAGAAACATGCCACTATTTCGTCCTAGACTGATGGTGAGCGCCCATAGCTGAATGGTGCTGATGTGAAGAAATTTGGTACATAGAGAAGACGGACAAGAGGAAGAAGGGAAACGACAAGAAAAGAAACACTTCTAATCAAAAATTCTCATAACTAGAGTCCTAAAGAAAATGATTGCGTATCAGACATATCTTCAGAATCAACTGCAGTCATTAGTATGTCAAAAGCCTGAAAACCAGAAGTCCCTGATCTAGCGATGCTGTTATGAAAAGATAGAGAACAAGAAAAAGACAAGGTGAGAAAGTAAAGGAACTATCGTCGAGTGATTGTTTTCCACATGGATAAGATTACTTCAGAATTTTCAACTAAGATACGCTTCACGAAATCATCCACCTGACGGTAAGTAAACCCCCAGTAAATAAGACTCAGAAGCTCGGCTGCTTTGGGCTTCAGACTGAGGCTAGTGAATTCAGTCAACGGCTAGGACTCTACCACAGCGAGATTTACGACGAAGTTTCTAGAAAAAAGACGGCTGCATTCCATCGAACAGTTAAAAGGAATTCTTTCCTCTCCACTACATAGTGCGCAGGTTGCGCAATGCTTATGTGCCGCTTCCTTCAAAAGGTTGACGATGGTGTCAAAGCTCCACATGAGAGCTTGACTTCTAGCCCCTAGACTAGGTTGAGGAAGCAATAGACCAGAACATTTCTTGTCTACTAGCTCTCATGGGCCATGTTGTCGCAGTGCCCTACCTTAAGATTCTTCCTGTCCTCTACCGCTCGAGAATAAAAATGCCAAAGAACCTGACAGCCGCATATACTGCCCAAGGTCTAAACTACAGCTTGCATAGGGTCACCAGCCTTGGAAAACGAAGATCTTACCACTTTCAAAAGATTTCCCACATCGGGGTCGTTATTGATCTTATCTCCAACAATGGTCACAAGTTTTATTATCTTTTTCGCAACCTCATACCCGGGAGCTGCCTTCCCACCCAAAATACAAACTCGTGGTACAACTTTCTTCCGCTCCTCTGGAGACATGTTCTGCGACGCACCACGATATACCAAATCAGACGGGCAAAATTCATTTTTTCAAACGTTGACGATGAGGTGTAAACTGAAAGAACGTAATCTAGAGGACTAAATCCAGTCAGCTCATGTGTGAAACATGTGATCTTCTGAGAAAATCCCTTGACAAAGACAAAGCACTTTCTAACACTCCGATATCACTTCTCATACATTCAATACCAAAGAAATAATACAAAGGGAAGGCAGAAAATGTATACGAAGATAACCACCTTAATGCAATCGTAGCGATGAATGATGCTCATGACATTGAGCAATTGTCGCTTGTACTCATGAATGCGCTTAACTTGGACATCGAACATGGCATCTATGCTGACCTGCATGGTAAAAGGTAAAGAGGGTAAGTTTCCCAGGACAAGCCACAAGCCACAAGCCAAAAGAGGTTCAAACCAAATAATATTCGTGCTACAGACCAGCTCCCGAGTCCTAGAAGTTATGTGATATATTGGTGCACGCTACCTACGATAAAGCCGTACATTCACTGATAGCTGGTAGAACAGAGGAGAGTTGCAGCTCATGAGCACACGGTGATTCACTAAGTTCAATTTTTGAGAAAAGTAAATCATTTTGATTGTTGATACACAACTCAAGCAAACTTTCGGGGCTATGATTGCAACGAGCCCAGATATGGGCCAAGTTTCACTGTAAATCACGACCGACATTTGAATCAGCAACATAGAGGACTGTAGCAGGAAGACTCGAGTTTTGATCCATTGGCAGATACTGAGACCTTGACACCACTAATTCCCTCGATATATTCTGCAAGCCTTGCTTTATTTTGACGGCGTGCCTGCACAGTAATCAGTGAGAGCGTAATTAGACAAAAACATATACAGCACACCTAAGAAATTGGTGGACAAAATTCCAAAGAGAAACGTTTTGGTACCTCACGGCACATTTGGATGAGAGGTTGAAGTAAACCAGATAGAGGAATGAGTGGTATTGAGGCCACTTTCATGCTTCTCCGCTTAACTAAATCTTCTACGCTTTTTCATCATAGCAAAATCCACATGCAGTCAGAAAACACAAAACAGACAGGTGAAAGACAATTGTGCATTTTGTTTACATTCTTGGACTTTTCAAGAACACCGATTAATTTCGGCATTCTTGTAAAGACGAGGAAAATAATCAAAATAGTGATTACTCCATACTGGAGAGATTCAGCTTATCGGCTGCCAGTACCTGATTCCACTCTTTATGAAGTTCAGGGTTCCGAGCATGCTTTCGAAGGCCAGCCAGAAGATCCAGACTGGTAATCCATGCGTCTGTTCCCAGGTACTTGGTAAGAACTTCTCGAAGCCCAGGGTTACAGAATGCAAGCCAACGCCGCTGAGTTCAACAAAGGTATTAGTTTAATTTTACCGAAAAAACTAACGACAATTCGAGTATTCACTGCAGATGTCCAGCTATCCTTGAAGAGCTCACTTACTATTTCTCTTGCTCGATTAAGAAACTGCCTTGAGTTCTGGGTATATACTTTCAACTAGCTAACTCATAATCTTCTCTTCCGGATTTGACGATTTTCCCTTAGACGTGGTCTCTGAGCTCTGGCTAGCTAGGGTCCAGAGAAGAAAAATTGAGAGCCCCTAAGACGAGAGGGGCCCCTTTACACTACCAAGATACAACCTATCATCTCAGCTTAAGAAGTTCTTTGATAGAACCCGATATCCAATGGGGCCTGCGTTCAATGTCCTACCTTAACCTACATCGAGAAGAGGCTCATGAATAGTAACGAGTTGAAACCAATGCTACAGCTAGAAATGCCCGTAAAGGCATATATATACCTGGGTCACACCGTTTGTCTTGTTCTGAAACTTGTGAGGCCACAACTCGTAGAAGTCCTGCACACAACGTGGATCATCAGAACTGCACAAGCAGAGGAAATTATAACACAAGACTTGGAGTTTGAAAGTACTAAAAGACTCTTACTTTGAACATGTTTTTGACGTGGCTGGTGTGAATTTCAGCAACACCATTGATTGTATGAGACGCTACTAGTGCCAACGCTCCCATGCGTACAATCTGAGGAAGGATCGCACATCAGGAATATGTTCAGAATTCAGCTACGTGCAGACCATGAGTTGTTACGAACACATGACATGATTATACGTGGCAGCTTTTTCAAGAAGAGAAAAGAGAGAACTTGGACAATCAATCCCCCATCCTTTCACCACTATATTTTGATCCCCTTTTGGCTACATTACGAGGTGCTCTCCAATCACAAACTTGCTGTCGAGATAGGATAAGGGGAGGAGTACAGAGGAGTACAAACGTGGGAATGTTGTTAATAGTCTGTTTATATTGTTTAGCCCTCGAAAACAAAAAAACATCCCCGATGTCACATACTTTTCATCAGAAAGCCTCGACGTGGATCCATTGACCAATGCGCTCTGAAAATCAACAATCAAGCCAAGGTGGAGATGCTTTACAAACATTTAACACTTGCCTTTTTCTCGCCATCTTCAATGATAGACATACGAGCCAGTCGTTCATAATCATTACCAAACCTTCTCTTCAACTCCTCAAGAAAGTGAAAGTTGATGTCGTAAATGATCTGATTCATCATCGGGGGTTAGCTTCTCTGAAAGTAGGAACAGGACAGAAACAAGATCACGATACTAACTCCACGAATGGCACTCTACCTTTCTCACCCTTGTCTAAACCACCAGGACAAGAAATTTACATCCAGGGATCCTACATCTCACCTGCCTCGTCTGAAGTGCCACTATATGTGTTGTGCGAAAATTGTACACAGCGTAACTCGTGGCAATTTAGATATACAGTCTACTCCTGTTTATTTGGCGTCAACAAAAGTTGCTGGGAGAAACACCGACTGCAATGTACTATAGGTGCTATAAATTCTCTATTGCTCCGCTGTCCTACATACTTCTTACCTGGAGATGGCGAGGTAGTAAACTTTCCATCAACTCAATAGGCCACTTTTCGAGCGATTCAGGCACAACGGTGTGGTTCGTGAATGAAAATACTTTGGTGCATATTTCCCATGCCTTGGAGTATTCTAAACCTTCCTCGTCAATTAGTATTCTGAGGAGCTCTGGAATGCCAATAGAAGGATGTGCATCGTTGAGCTGAAGGGCCACCTGCTCATGGACGTAAGCGAACATTTGTTAACAACAATCAGATGTGTCCTCTGTATTTGAAATGTACCAGCATTTAGTTCCAAACTGACATATATACGATGAACTCTGACGAGTAGATAAATGGCAACGAACAGTAACAAAGTAGTCGGTAAACTACATTCTTATCAAAAAAAACTTCTTTGCATACTTTTTTGTATTTGAAACGCCTTAGGGCTCTTACGCACACAGGGCGGTTCAACGAACTCTTCATCGAGAAAACTTGTTTCAACGTACAGTAGTGAAGTTTATATCTACAAACGAGTTTCATTTGAAGCAGAAAGAGGTACAAGGGGCGTAAAATTATCAAGAAAGTTAGTTTTCAGCATACAGTAGTAGACTCTATATCTACAAACGAATTTCATTTTGAAGCAGAAAGAGGTAGAAGGGCGTAAAATCAATTGAGTTGCACACCTTCTCGGGTAATTGATCAAAGTTGTCATGGTGGTCTTTAAATCTTCGAATAACATCCTGCAGTGAAGCTGAAACGAAAAAGTACTGCTGTTTCAGACGCAGTTCCTTCCCCTGTATCACAAACCAACGTTTGTCATTTCCACTATTATATAACCACCGGGTGACTTTTCTTCCTTTGAGATACTTCTCCACAATCATTCTTCAAGATCGCTATACATGTTGGATTCACTGCATTCACATCTGAGGCTCAAGAAGTAAGTCCCTTGAAGTGAGCTTCGTAGTTGTTGCATATGTTAAAATACAGAAATTTAGAAAAGAGGAGAGAAGCAAGTGACTTCAGGGCCGAATATTTTATTATTGAGAACCAAGAAGACGTCCTCAAAGTAAAATTAAAACACTTCCAACCTAAGAGAGGCATACCTGATACGTTCGATCATCAGGATAGAGAACACTACTTATTGCTTCAGCGCGCTGCTTGCTAAGGATGGCGTTCACATAGTCTCCCGTATTAAATGATTGCTGTCAGGAAATATCAATGTCAATCATCAGTATCACCTTATGAAGACACTTAAACGAAACCTAGCACCCAGAGGTACAATGCATCAGCGCTAAGAACCAATTATTTGAAACTGACTCAAAATGACTACCTGATGGTTCCGAACATGACATCCTTCTTTCCTTTCTATGATAAAAGGGGCTCAGATTGATTACTGACCAGGTCAAACTCCCCGCTCGGCTTGGCAGCCCATAATCGAAGATTGATGGTGTTGTTCGTGCCATATCCGGGAATGGGATTATCGTAGGCTACAGCTGCAACCTGCGAAGATAGTACCGTCAAAGCTTCTTGAGGAAACAGAAAATGAGCTCCTATGAGAGGTTGCTCTCTCGAAGCTTGAGTCCAGATAATCATCAATAGATCACTAGTCTCCTCGGCATTCTACCTTCTACGCAGATGCTCCATGATATTAAAGGGAAAGAATCCAGGATTGGATGGTTAACTCAATTAACTCCATGAATGAAGTACGACCGACCGTACATGATACAGATCGTGAAGTGGAATAAAATTCATTTCGTTCTTTTCTGTTCGAACTTAAAGCTTACCTGTTCATTTGGTAACCATGTATAGTTCTTCTTTCCATTCCAGTGTTCTTCGACTTTTCCATAAAACTGCGTTCAAATCAGATTAGATGACTCAGATGCTCTGTTTACAAGTGAAGTGACTGAATGAAAAGCCTTGATCTCGACGTGACACCGCAAAATTTCCATATTTTGTAGAATCGGAAAATGGGCAATCTAAAAGGAAAGTGTGAGACATTGTCTGACGTCTAGGTAATTCTCTCACATTTCAGCCTTGCTTTCATGAATTACAGCAAGTATGCGGCTTACTCTGATGGGATAAGTGACGTGTACTCGCTCAATCTCCCAAGGATTACCGAAATTCAGCCAGTAGTCAGGCTGCTCGTGCTGGTAACCATCCTGCAAAGTCTGTCGGAACATTCCATATTGATATCGAATACCATACCTGCATCAAGAACAATCCTTATTAGCTCATAACCAGCTCCTGAGTCAATACCAAACTTTCCCTTCTCGCTTTCAACTAGTATCTACTATTTTGACAGTCTAGCGAAGAAATCCTTACAAATTTACCTGGATGAAACAAGGTATGAATATATCTCTACTCCAGGTGAAAAACTCTATTAAAATAATAACTGGGAAACTACACTAGGCTGCAATACATTGCCAGGAGCTTGAATTCACTTGAGAGCAGTCCCAAGGGATCCGATCAAGTACTAGGCTGTCTATCACTAGGTGAATCTGAAGATAGAAACATACCCCCAAGCAGAATAGTTCATGGTGGCAAGAGAATCCAGAAAGCATGCAGCAAGACGTCCCAGACCACCATTCCCAAGAGCAGCATCACGTTCCTGACAAAAAGGTCGAAGCGAAATTTGTAATAAGACAAAATTCCAGACGAGAGCACATTCAATTTTGTTGACTTCTTGAGTCAAACTTCGAACTCTCAATCTGACAGAAACTTCTAGCTCTTATTAAACCGAAGCTGAGGATGACACTCTAATGTGGAATGGATGAGAAAAGACGCGTTCGATATAAGAAATATTTGATATCCAGTTTATCTCATGCCGGCAATTTTAGAACCACATGCAAGAATTAACAGTCAAAAGTGGTCCCCGTCTGACAGTAACTCAGGGAAAAAACATTTCCCACAAATGGCATTCTTATTCAAAGATCGTACCTGTTCCACCAGCACCTCCAAGTTGTATCCAAGTTGTCTCAAAGCTTCCGAGTACTGATCCTTTATTCCAAGGTTGTACACACTATTCAGAAGCGAACGACCTGATAGCACGCAGAGATGTGAACAACTGTTGGAGATTTGTCACCTCCAGAATGATATAATAGGAATGAGTTTCTGCTCATCGACAGGACGAGGTTCCAGCTTTACGAAGAACCTATGACCACAGAATCCTGAGCAGATAACTTCTGCTCAGGATTCTGAGCAGAAGTTATCTGCTCAGGATATAGACAGTGAGCAGACAGAAAACTGCAATATAAATGTAGACGCACCCATTAAAAATTCCATGGACAAGTAGTACACCCTCTTTGTATCCAATTGCCTGAAAAAATGTTGCGTATCATTCCAGCTCTCGATCAGGCGATCTCTGACACTGTAAGCTGCAGCCTGCAATAAACATATTCCCAACGTTAATATTCTTCAAAAGTTGTGTCTTCCGTAAGCCTATCCCGACTATTCGCTATTTGAGAACTGCGATCGGCTTGCACGGCTTGCAAATCAGACTCTCTTCAATTCTCTTCAATTTCTGTTACTATCTATAGTAGACCAAAGCAAGACTGTGTAATTCCATACAAATATTGGGATCAGAATTACGCTAATATCTTAAAAAGGATTCCTGTGCAAGTCTTGTGTACGAGCTGGGTAGACCTTCCACAAAGTTCTATCAAAACACGCTACATCGTAATTCATGCTTCTCATTCAGACTGAAGAGATGGAACAGGTACTGTACCATGTATGCCTCAAAGTCATCGAACTTGAAGCGTGACCGAGCAATTGTGTACTCCACGTGATCCATAATGCTCTTCTGAATACTAAAAACGTCATTCTGCAGATATTGGTCCATTAGCCTGTATAGAAGCAGGGATTTATTATGAAGGTCCGCATCTATATCTCTTTCACTGCGCTTCTTGTAAATAGTAGTTGGCCGGCTAGATGGATTCCAAGGCTGTTCAAACCCAGACTCATTTAGAGCAGCCTTCAGAACAGTCTCTACATTGCGAGCATCTCCGACGTCCAATATTTTTTCCCCGTCTGTTCCTGTCACGAAAAACTTCTCCTTGAGAATGCCCTCAGCTAAATCAACATTTGCGTCTAGAATTTTCAGGCCTAGCTCTTTAAAGGTTGAAGTTACTATCTGTAAGATGCCAACCCTGTTCGGCGTCTCCACGGTGATGACAGTGAACTTCTCATCAGACTCATTGTCCACAATTACTGTTGCAGACGATGCATCAGATTTTGCCGAACTAACCTGTACAGAACTGGTCACCAGAGAACTATTACCAGCAGAAGACGCCACGACAAAAGGACTGTGCGTTCTCCAACGCCAGAAATTCACTCTCGAATGGCGTCCACAAAATGCCTGCGTGAATTCGGATGCAATCTTCCGTCGAAGTCCACAACCAATTTTCCTTCTTCCGACCGCACCACAGTCTGTCCAGATGATCGCACTGGTCCAATTCGGTGCTGCTTCCATTCCCCTCCGCTGACTACATCCCTGCACCGGCGCAGCGCTCAAGTACGTTGATTTTGACCCGGATTTGTGACGGACTTCAGAACAGAGCCCGCCCGAATTGTTGCACAACGTGCGGCTTGCAAAATTGCAAGCCATTGCCCCGACTCCTGTGCAGGAAAGTCGATCGCCCCGCACACCACAACGCAATGCCACCCCAACGCTGGCAGAGCGAGCAGATAGATATGGAACGAGGAAGGAAAAGAACGAGCCCCTTTCGAGCTTCAAAGAAACGGGTTCCGCATGCAGTGTGAACAGGGCTTTGACTGGTTTACCTCGACGTAACTCTCTAGCGCCTTAAGGATGGCAGAATGGCCTTATTCTCCCCTGCAAGAACGCAGGCGAACCGTCGATACTCCCCATGGGGCAGATTTCGAGGAAAAAGAATTTAAACGAAGCAAAGATTCCGCTGCCCGGATTCAAACTGCACGCTCTGGACCACCACGTCGGACGCGCCAGATTCACTTTCACCTCCACTAGAATGACGCTCGCGTCGTCGATCGCACATCGTCCGTCTATCACCAAATTCTTGGAGACGGACTCCCGAAATATACAAATATCCGCAGCGTTGTACCCGGTGGCAGGTGCGATGTACCATCAATGAATGACCATTGCGTCGAGGGGCCCCACCAGGGGAAGGGACGATTGACCAATACAGATAGAAAAGCGCTCATGGAAGCCATACCTCGGCCAAAGAATCCAGAAAGTGTTGGAGCTGGTGCGATCGCTGCAACTTTAGCAGAAACTTGGGGTAAAGGGCAGGAGGAGGTGGAGGGAATGTCATTTTCTTTGCCAGGTCTGCGGCGTGCTGTACAGTTTTATATGTCAGAAATTAACGATAAATATCTACCGGATATCCCCACGTTCGATGAGAAATCGCAGACGACGTTTCTGTAGAGTTAGAGTGTAGTCCATGGATCGAGCATGATAGGATGTTTGATGTCATGTGACGATGGACCTCCCCGTGATCTTTTACTTGGTGCGCGTCACGTTCATATTTGAATTTGTCATCGAAGGATGGATCTAGAATACCGAAAATGTGCTATTTCACCTCACGTGAGAGCATGTCTACCTTCGCAAGGATCCAAGTCCAATTGTTATCGTTCGAGTTTCATGCCGCGGTTTTCTTTCTCTTCTAGGAAACTGTGTACTCTTCTTAATTACTGAGATACCCAGAAACCCAGTTGCTAAGTGCATTTTCACTTCAAGCACCTGGCCTCCAGAAACTTTACCCTCTCCAAGCAGGGCTTTTATACAAAGGCATCCCGTAATATCAACCTTCGTACATCTCGTCCTACATCTAAGTTGGACTGGCCGGAACTTCGGACGAGAATTGGCATGACTTCGATCCATTTTATATGACATTATGTGAACCCACGCGCAGGTTTACTGCCCATCCTCCTCAATCCGTTCGAGTCTGACTCCATGCAAACTTTTATCGTGGAAAGTCAATTGATCCAATTGCTTATCGTGGAAAATGGTGCCAGCCCATACTTTTATACTTCACCTCTCAATATCGTCTGCAAAGTTTATGGTGGTTATTTATCTTTATCTACCAAATTCTCCTCTGGTCGATGGATGTTCTCACCCATGTACTGAAATTTTTTATAGGGATTCATCTCGCTCAATATTCACATGGAGAGATCTCACTACTAAATATCATGAAATATACAATATCTCAGACATACTGTTGAAGGAATTTCATTCAATCTTATGTGGTTGAACAAGGGTTCATATTAATATATTTTTTTTTTCATAAAATATTCTAAAAATTAGATTTTTCCAAAAACAAAATTTTCTATCTCTCTAATTTGAACAAATCATTTCATCTATGTGATATATTAAAGATTGCAAAATCTCATGATAACAGGTTATATTTTACTGCATGTATTCTTATATAACCTGTGTGCATAAGATTATAATATTTTAAGTCAAGATAAACACTAAACGTTATCTCACTGTGAAAAATATTTCACAGTTTTCAAAAAAAATCAATCGAACGCTGTCTTTTTTTTATGAATATGTATCAACTTCTTTATGTACTTTGATTCATGTTACAATTTGAGAATAACGTGCTTTTTATGGCCAATTTTTGTCACATAATAGCAAAGTGATAGTAAATTGTCATGATGATATGTTGTTCTTAAGAATAAAGAAAAAGTGGGTACATCTTTTGTTACAAAATATATGTTTAACTATAATATGTTCATACTTTATACAACATTTTGATATTATCTCATTAGATGAAGAGCTAATAATATTAAATTTAATTAAGAAATATACTCCAAACGATGCATTCACGCTGCTTTTCTACAAACATGTCATTTTTTAGGTAAATATTACATCAGTGTATGATGATAATTTGATTAGAACACTCTTCATAAATTGACATTTGAATCTGATGCAATATAATTTTATTTTATTTATAATACAAACAAAATCTGTAACTAAACAATCTATCACAAATTATAGAAAACACATAATTCATAAAATATAAAAAAAAAATTATATTAATTATTAATGAACGAAAAAATTAGCGATACATACATTTTGAAGCATATTATATATAAAACATAAAATTACAAAAAAATAGCCAAACGTTAACAAAAGTCATCAATATACCAAACACATAATCACATATTTTTATAAATCATAACATAAACATAATCACATATCTAATATCAATTTATGTTATTTATCTCTACAAATTACATGAAATTTCACATTTTATTAATTATTTCATTGCTTTTGAAGTTGTTATGCATTTCCAGAATAGATATCATTAATTTGATATTAAAAAATATTTTATATATCCTTAAATTTAAATTTTAGAAATTAAATTGAATTAAATTTAACCTTGCTTTCAATCAATTAGCGCATTTCAATTGATTTTATTTTATTTTATTTTATTTATTTATTTTAAATGGTTTGAGCAAAAATTTTATTATGGTTTTCAAAAGTAAACAAAAAATTTCACAAATATTATAACAAGTAAATTTTTAATACAATTTTTTTCAAATATAAAGATATATTTTTGTATATTTTTTAAAAATCTTTTATTTTATGTTGTCTCATCTACTATGATCACACAATCATGAAGTTGTGACCAATATAAATAAATAAAGCAGATAATTATATCTGATATCTTTCTTATATACAAAATTGTAAATTTATATCAATCAAAAGTTCTTTAAGTAACCATTGGTAGTTTGGTCACTTAGATAGTAAAAGTGGATTTTAAGATGAATGCTATGATAAGAAGATAATTAGAAAACTCATTTCAATACAAATATATTATATGAATATCTCAAAAACTAATATTACAAAAAAATTGATGTTATTGGACTCTAAAGTCCTACTTTAACATATTCTGGATTTCGTTGCATTATGTTAGTTCAAAGTATGTCTTTAAATAAGAAATAATTGATGTAAGCTTTTCTAAAAACTCTAAAAAGCTTTTAAATACAAAATATCCATAATTCAAAGTATAAAGGTATTAAAACTAAGCAACACAATTCTTGAAATTCTGGATCACTTTGTTTGGCTATTTTTCATGTTGTTCTTGAATATTCAGGTTTTTGTAAATTAATGTTTACAACATTTCAAGTTTCAGACTGTTCATTTTTGCGTTTTAACATACAAACTTAATGATTTTACATTATTATTATTTTATTTATTCACATATAATATTTTTTATTGCTGAAAATATTAAAATATTTCCATTAAGAAAATTATGTAAAATAAATACTGTTATCAAATGATTATGTAACTTCACAATACAACTCTAACTTGCAATAAACTTATATTATATAGTTCTTAATCAACATTTTGATGATAAATTGTTATATCAATTCATACGTTGTACTAAATTTTGTGATAATTGTATTGTCAAAATGACAGTATTATAATTGAAATTTTTTATATTTTTCAATAACAATTATATATCAAATTAACTTGTCTAAAACTTATTAATAAAATTAGGTGTGAAATAATAAAATTAATTTTAATGTTTAATTCTTAACTTCTTGGAAAATAAAGATCTTTATATTCATTTGTTTGGTACAATGCAATGATTTTAAATTTTATTCAAAATTGTTGTATGAAAAAAAATCTATACAATACAAGTTTTTTTTAAAATTCTGTATTTGTTTGTAAATTATATTTTAAAAAATTATACTCTTAAGTGTAAAATAATTTATTTTAAAATAAAGACAACATTTTCAGTATTTATTTTGGACTATATCTTAATTATGAATAAATAATTTAAAAATGAGTAGAAAATTATTTAATTATAAATTATTTAATTTATATATTTAATGAGAAATTATTTTGTTAGAAGAAAAATTGTAAAAATTTTCAAATTATGATGAAATTTGAAATAAAAGAATCTTCAAACAAATTATGAGCTATCATTTAGAATAAAATATTTTTCTTCTGATGAGTACTAAACATATAAAATCTTTTAAATGTTTATAAAAAATAAAATATATATTATAAAAGTATTATAAAATAAATATTATTTTTTTAAATTAATATATTTAAACATATTTAATATTTTTAAATTAAAAAAAATTTATATATTGAAGACGTAATAAAAGCAACATATTAGATTTTGATAATTATAGTAAAAAACATAAAGATATATATTTGAATATTATTAAATTAATTAATTAATGAAAATTCAATCTCATAACAAACAATATTTATTTGTATGCACTTGTGGTATAATTTAAAATAAAAGAATTAAAATTAGTTTTAAAATATATTTTTTTAAAAAATAAAAAATAAAAAATAAAAAAATTATCACATTTTAAATAAAATTTAATTTTCTACTAAGGTATATATCTTTAAACAAATTTACACTTGTTTAATATTTATTAAAAGTTGATTCAAGTTTTGGGTATTTAAAATAGGGTTTAGTTTAATATTGAAGCCCAGAACTATATAAAATAATCACTATGCAATACGATGCATAAGATAAGATTGTGTTTCTATATATATAAAATTAGATATATCGATTAAAAATACAATTTTTTTACAAAGCGTGATAAATTTTATTTAAATCTTTATATTCAGCTTAAAAAACATATTTTAAAGCCCCACCAGCTTTAAATAATGAAAAGAGAACACCGAACAAAAGTGAGGAATTTACGACAGTAGTTGTTACAGATGGTACCGTCACT